TGGGATAAAATCTTTAGATTAAAAAAACTGATGGGGGCATTTCACAACAAACGATCGCAGTGTCCTCCCTGAGTCTGCTGTTAAATCATAGCACCTCTTAAAGTAAGGCAGTCAAACCAAGGAAGCAGAACTTATGCCAAAATGTTAAATCTGAATCCAATCTAGTTTCTGGGTCTAACTTCCAAGTTCTAAAAAATTCAGACAATAAAAGAAAAAGGTACCAACAATTAACCAAACCCAGTATGTGGAACATTCTCTTGACCAAGTAGTTTAGTATCTGCAACAAATGAATGACTTGAGAAAAGGGGGAATATTCTAGATAAGAGACTAAAGAGAATCAATAACCAAATGAAATGTGGTTCAACTATAAAGAGCCAGATTTGAGATAAGGGAATATTTAATAAGTGGTAGATGATACCAAAGGATGGTTCTTCCTATTTGTAGGAGCAATAGGACATTATGGTTTTGTAGGAAATTTGCATATCAATAGATGCATACTGGGCATTGGGGTATATCTCACTGGTACACCACTTGCCTAGCACAACTAAGGCCGTGGGTCTGCACTGAAAAATCAAATGAACAAAAACAAGAAAAGCAAGATGCATACTGAAGAATAGTAGATATGTCATGATGTCTACTTCTAGCAATTCTAATAATTTCAGAATGAACAGAAAGGAATAGATGAATCTGATGTGTAAATTAAGGAGGTTCACTATACTATTCTCTTTACTTTTGCATAACTTTGAAATATTTCTAAGAGAAAGATATTTTTTATTTTTATTTTATTTTATTCATACGTGCATACAATGTTTGGGTCATTTCTCCCCCATTCCCTGTGCCCTTCCCTTAGCCCCTCCACCTCCTCCCTCTCCCCCTCAACCCCCTTGCTTCCAGGCAGAAACTATTTTGTCCTTATCTCTAATTTTGTTGAAGAGGGAGTATAAGCAACAATAGGAAAGAACAAGGGTTTTTGCTGGTTGAGATAAGGATAGCTATACAGGGAGTTGACCTGCATTGCTTTCCTGTACATGTGTGTTACCTTCTAAATTAATTCTTCTCAAACTAACCTTTTCTCTAGTTCCTGGTCCCCTTCTCCTATTGGCCTCAGTCGCTTTAAAGTATCTGTATTAGGAGAAAGATATTTTTTTAAAAAATGGAGAAAAGGGGGCTGGTGGAGTGGCTCAAGTAGTAAGTGCCTCATAAGTGTGAAGCTGAGTTCAAACCACAGTCTTGCCAAAAAAAAATAGGGGAAAAAGGGGCTGGGGGCATGTCTCAAGTAGTAGAGTGCTTGCCTAGCAATCATGAGGCCTTGAGTTCAATCCCCAGTATTACCAAAAATAAATAAACAAATAAATAAATAAAATTGAAAAAAATATAAAAATAGAAAACAAAATCAAATCAAAATAAAAATAAATCAAAACTTTCCTTTTCCTTACTACTTACAACATGAAATTTTTGACACTAACAGTACACTACATTTTTTTCACTTAGTTACTTCTACAGCTGCACTTTACTGGACATAAACTTAATGTAATATTTATTTTTGAAGTCAGTCTAAATCTTTCAGCTGTTTTTGCAACTCAACTACTGGAGTACGAAAGATGGGGATGGGCAGAGATGGCCTAGGCACAGCCTTTTTCACTGCACAAAGATGTTTTCCTCATCCCTTCTTCCCATTATTTTCCCAAAGGGGAATCTTGAGGTCTTTTCACTTCCCTTTTATGGAGAAGGGTTGCCTGCCAGCCTGCTACCTCCCCCTTAGTCCTTCAGATTTAGGTGCAGTTTGAGCAGAAGAGACCCCCCCTCCCACCTGAGGGAAAGCCAAGGATGGGATGACAGAGGGCAGGAAAACACCAGCAGTGCCACTTCTTGTTTGATCTTCTCTCCATTCTCATGACCCAAGGAACAGGCAGGTCTCAGGACTCTCAAAACAGATAGAAGTAACAGACCTCAGCTTTCTTACCAGTCCTATATATTCTTTTTCCTCTTGCAGTTTTTGCCTAACCATGTTATATTTGCTGACTAGTTAACTGATTTACTGTTTCCCTTTTTTAACAAACATTTCAAACTGTTTTATATGTAAATAATGGCTCTTAAGCTATCTTTATGGTTTTTCATTTTCTCAACCTGGTTATCATTTCTTCAGGGAATTAAGACAAATAGAATGTGGAGCTGATAATAGGAACTTTAAGAACTAGAGATAAAGGAGCATTCTAAAAGCATTTCTGAGTATAATGCATATAAACACTAAATTCTATGACAAAAAAATAAACAAGCAGATTTCATTTAAAAATATGGAGTCAATCACCTGAATTTCCCCTTAAAAAGAAGAGTTTAATTGGTTTCTCATACAGTCAATCACTACTCAGCCACATGTGGAAAAACAGTTCCAAGTATTTTATTTCCATGAATTTAAACTTGAGAGTCAAAAGATCACATGCACATTTCATCTTTGCATGGGGTCAAGTATCAAGAGACCCTAGACACTACTGACCTAAGAGATTCCATGAGACAGAGCAAAGTAACGTAGGCAGAAGGAAACTAAGCCATCCAAAAGAAAAATCTAATCTACCTTGCCACCTTTCTTGTTTCCTTCAATGTTTAAAAATGGACAAATGGACACTCTAAAGCCAGGTGCTGTGGTCACAGCACTTGAGAGGGTAAGGCAGGAAGATTTTGAATAATAGGCAGCCAGGGTTACATAGTGAGATCCTGTCTCAAAAGGAAAGGACACTCTGAGGCCTAAAATTTGTTTTAGAAATAGGCATTCCTAATGGAAGTATAAATGGGTTATTGGGAAGTTTCTGTAAATCAAGTGTGTTAGTAAAATGCGCAGGTGACTCACACCTGTAATCCTAGCTACTCAGGAGGCAGAGATCAGGAGGATGGTGGTTCAAACCCAGACCCAGGCAAATAGTTACCAAGACTCTATCTCGAAAAAACCCATCACAAAAAAGGGCTGATGGAGTGGCTCAAGGTGTAGGCACTGAGTTCAAACCCCAATACCACAGAAAACAAAAACAAAACAAAACAAAAATACCCAACACACTGTGTTGGGAGCATGTAGTTTCTCACACTTGAGTTGTTCTGCTAGTACAGAAGTACTATGCCCATAAAGACCCTATAATTTGAAAAGCTTCAACAGCTAAAGCACTGTATTACTAAATAAAAGTTTGGCTCAATATCAAATTAATAGGAACATTACTGAACGAATTTTAATTGACAACGAGATACAGTGGCCAGAGACGGGAAAAGAAGTCTTGTGATTAACTACACTCCACTAGAAGGCACCTCTAACTCTGACGGCAATGACTCCCGATGCTGAAAGTACCGCACAGGTAGATGTACAGCAGATGCTCACTGAACCACCTGGTATCTGGAGGTGAGGGGAAGAAAATGGACTTTGAATCCCTAGAGGTGTCATTCAAAAAGTCACTTCAATGAATCAGTTTCATCTCCCTGGGACCAAACGGTCAGATTGCCCAACAGAACCCTTAGGTCATGAAATAACAGACTGAGATGATAACCTCAATATCCGGAAAAAACAATTCAGACTATATCACTGTGCCAAACAGATTGCCTAATTAAGACCAACAGGTCATTTTATTTTGAAAAGTCTTCCTTCTTCATGGGCAAGCAGGGCAATTCTAGAACATTACTATTCTCAAAAATCATACATTTTATATAAAAAAAAAAAGCTAAAATAATGTCAGAGAATAAAGACTAACGGAGTATTATGTTAATGTACTTTGAAGTGACTTCATGGAAGGAGAGGAAAAGAACTGATGGAGCTCTTAAAGTCAAAAGCCTTCAGGTAGGTACCAGGCACATGCCATCAATCTGTAAGACTGTTGGGTTAAATATTTAGGGAGCGCTTACTGCAGTCCCTGGGATAGTAACAAGCTCAGGTTTTTAACCTTCTAAGAAAAGCAAGCTATCTGATTTTCTATGTAAAGTTCCCAGATTTTCAAAAGTTGGAAATAAATTTTTTTTTTATTTTTACAGATTAAAAAATTATGATCTAAAATTTGGCCTGTGTGCTACCAGTCTGCAAATAAAATGTAGCTTTAAATAATGCAGATATAAACATAAAGCTTATCATATGATAATGATTATGCTACATTATTATTGATCCTTTGTTTCCATGTTAAAAAAAAAAAAGGACAGGAGTGGTATCAGAATTAATGGAGCATTTTTCCCCCAAATTTCATAGCATAATGTTTTACATGTTTAATTTTTATTAATTACAATATGTAATTACACATATCTGGATTGTCATTACCACTACACCATCCCCAGTCTGTGCCTGGGAAGGATGTGCTGCTTGAAAACATCCCCGAGAAAAGCAATGCCACATCCTTCCATCTGAGACCACTGACTTGGAGAAATCAGAAAGCTTCAGGTACCTGGGAGGAGAGAGGGGTACAAGTTGTGAAGACCAAACTTACTGGGCCTTTCAGAACTTACTGAAGTAGTTCTGAAAATAATACATGCAAAAATCAAAGATGATGAGTAGCCCATGGTTAAGTACTTTATGTATTATACTCATTGTTTCAGTCTCATGGGCAAAGAGAAAAGAATCAATTGCCAGTTTATTTGAATGATTACAAAACCAGATGCATTTTTTTAAAAATGTGTTTATGTATGTCCATGTGGGTTTGTCTGCATGTATGTATATAAACAAACTAGGAGGACATTTCAGCCAGTTTTAGGTTTAGGTTTGCAAGCTCATTAATTGTATTGTCTTATTTCTACATAATGCTATAATACACATAGGAAATATTAATTTTCTACTTCCTATTTAAAAAAAACAGAACTTTTTACTGACATGAGTAAACATAACTAGGATTATGACACATTATTTTAAGCTCTGAAATGCAAATAAAAGATATAAAGAAACACCTTCCTGTGATTTAGTAATATGTCACTAATTTTTTGCTATTTAGCACTGCCTAATCTAATCCTGCTTTTGGTTATAAGATTTCATTCTTGGAACCCACCTTTTACCTATAAGTCAAACTCTTCTAGGCTGGCTGTACAGCCAGAGGTATTGCTTCCCACTGGCTTATCCTCAGATCCTTGTAGTTTTTCTCCTTTGGATATGGTCATCTGTCTCTTGACAAGACAGGATTAGCTGGGTAAATTACAGATGGCTCCTTTATTTCCTTCTTTTGTTGTTTTCCCAGCAAGGGGTGAAACCTGAAAAAGAGAGAAAGGAGTCATATAATACCTCTCCACAGAAATTTCATAAGTCTCTTAAGAAGACTGGCTATGGCCAATCAGAAATTCCTCCCAATGTATTTTTGGAAGAGAAAGCTCATACAGGAAGGTTTCTCAACTTTTTAGTTCCTTAGCTCAATCTTATATAATTGTAAAGTCCTCAGTAATCAGTAACATTACTGATTCATAATTACATTTTACCCAGAGTTTGGAATAAAAACCTCTCAAATGATACAGCAAATATTTTCTAAGAGAGGACAAAATACATTTTCTAGAATCAAGGTTAGCCCTTCAATTAAATGTAAATCTCAAGTAGGGTTTTTTGATGTAGTTAGTAGGAAGTGGTCTCATCACACATTCACAGAGGGCTCTGATAAAGACCCATGAATAATATCTAATTTACCTTATGAAAGTCAAGTTGTTGCCAAACTCCTAAAGCAATCACCTAGTAGAGAGAACTAGCTATATACTATCGAAGAACAAAGTTTTCAACTTGACATAATTTCCCAGAAAGGAAAGAAACAGTATGAAAAAATAAATATGTTCACTTTAAGGAAAACAAAAAAAAGCTGACAAGCAACCCAAAGTAGACTCAATACTAGTTGCTCTCTGATCCTGAAACATGACAGCAGATTTTCCTTCAAGCCACAAACCTCTCTAAGCAAACTCACTGATTCACAAGACGACTTTAAAAATTACTTCTCACATTTCACCTTTTCAAGTGCCCCCCTTTCTTCCCCCACATACCCAGAAAGATTATGATGTACTGAAATAGGAAAAGATGTATGTCTACCCAACCATCAGATGTCCTGATTACTCTTTCTGCCAACAAGTATTTCTCCTCAATTCCTAACTTTATATTTAAAAAAATTTATTTTGTCGTGAGACAATTCCATGTATTTTATAGATCTAAATAAACTCTAATTGTTGATTATGGTGATCACAAGGAACTGAAGTTAGTGTCCATCAAGATTATTTTTGTATGCTCAGTATTATATCTTTTTATTTTTTGCACACAGGACTCAGTCTGTGCCCTTTAATCTCATATAGTTATGATGCAGCATAAAAGGTCTGCTAAAGAAACTCCCCTTGCCACCTTTTCCTTGTATTTTTTTTCCAATGATGGACTCTGCTAAGCTTTGGGAAAGGAGAAGACACTGAAAACTGAAGAAGAAAAAGTATGGTAGAGCCCCTGTGCTATCCTGTAGCTCTCTTTGCCCACTCCCACTCCATTCTTCTTTCCTAGTCTTTCTTTATGAAGTCTTACCATCTGAAAATGGCAATAGAAGGTAAAGCAGAACACAGGATCCTGGGGTAGAATTAAGGTTTCCTCTCCTTCCCTGTTTCCTGCACTAACAAACAGCACAAGGGAGAGAGACAGCTGCCAACACCTAAGGAATGTTCTTCTTTCTCATCATATCACAAGCCATGTGCATCCTCACAGCCTATGTAAACTATATCTGGGCCCCAGTTGCACGTTTCCACTTCTCTTCGTTCTTCCCCCTCAGTGTTTGCCAATACATTCTTCAGAATCTAGTCCCAAACCATTCCTAACTCCTTCCTTGATCTTCTCAGCTAGAAAAGAGGCTGCTGGAAATTTGTGTCAATTCTCCTCATGTGAGATTGTCCTTGTCTAACAATTACTTGTGCTTATAACTCTGTATCTTGTACCAGGTCAGTACACTATGAGAAGCAGGGACCAGATTTTAGATTCCTGCACACAGTACTTGTGAGAGTAAAAAAGGGAAATTTAAAGGTGTCAATTCAGAAGATTCCAAGATGGTGGCTAGAGGTAGGAGGCAAAAAGCGAGCCTCCTATAGTGAAATCTTGGAGAGACGCTGGAGACACACTTTGCAGGCATAATCACCAAGAAAAGGCATAACTTTGACTCCTCCACATCTCCAGCCGGTGCAGAGAATCTCCACCTCATGCTAAACGTAGAAACGAGGAGGGCCCCTGGGGCTGCCAGTGGCCGGCACCCATATGGCTTGGGAAGACGCGGACCAGGTGAGCTTCGCAGTACCGCGGTAGCCCCACAGACAAGCCTGGGCCAGAGCAGCATAGCCCCCTGGACAGACTGACCTCCACCCGGGAAAAAAGAGAAACTGAGTAATAAGCAATAAGAACAGTTAAGACACGCTGGAAAGAGGGTGGGGCGCCCTGAGCGCTGAAGATTGGGGGAAGGGAATCCTTCCCGGGACTGTAAATAAACAAGCCAGGCAGGCCGGAGAGGCTCTGGCGGGAGCGGGGCGCGCCCAGCAACCAGGAGCGGGGACGCTTGTGAGAGGAGGGAAGACCCACTTCCCACGTGAACTGTAAACAAACATGGCGGCCGGCAGGAGCAGCAGCACCGCCCAGTAAGCAGGAGCAGGAAAGCTTCTGAAAGTGGCAGTGGGAGGAAAACTGCATAGGAGAGGGGGGAAGACCCACCTCCCACATGAACTGTAAATAAACACGCAGGCCTGACAATGCGGGGGCAGTGTCACCTTTCCCAGTGCTTGGAAAGGGGAAAGCCTGTAGCAGAGGCTGCCGCACAGGAGAACTCTGAGTAAACAAATCACCCCAGAGATCTGCATGAATAATGCCGCCAGCAACAGCAGGCTGACAGCAGCGAGCAGGCAAGCCACAGCCGCAGATACCATTCTCAGAACTGTCTCCAGATGCTTTTTTTTTTTTCTCCCTACCTTTCATGAGAGAACAACCGAATTACACCTGCAAGCCGAAAAACTTACTGAAACTGTATTGCATTTGAACTGGGGACACTTGGTGGGGCTTTTTGTGTGTGTGTGTGTGTGTGTGTGTAGTTTTGTTCTACTTTATGCATCCCCTTTGATGAGACAACTACAGAACAACATCTGAGGCACCAACTCCAGGACTGGAGATTGAGACGGACAACCAAATTATTAAGACTGAAACTGCATTGCGTATAAACTTGGAAGTTTTTTGGTTTTTTTTTTTTTTTTAATTTTCTATTTTCCATTTTATTTTAATTCATTTTTATATATAGATATAACTTTCATTTACTTATTTTTCTTATCTTTGATTTTCAATCCTCTCTGTTTCTCCAATGTCTGTTCAGCTTACTGTCGATTAGTACACTAACACTCCCTGTTTATACCTTTGAAACTCTCTTGTCTGATACCTTGTTCTGCTTTCTCCCTCTTGTCTGTATATTTGTTTTCCCCTTTCTTTTAACTTTTTGCTTTCCATCTCAGCTCACCCTTCCATTCTAAATATTACCATTGTTATTATTACAAGCTAGAAAATACTTAATTGCACACAGTACAGGGACAGTAACAACACCAAGGCAATGATGGAAGACAGAAAAAACAGGGAAACCAGTTTCCCACAGCAAAAAATTAGTACAGGAACCAGAGGGGAATGAAGAGAACAGAACTCAGATCCAGACTCCAACAAAATGAAGATAAACTATGCCAAAGGACCCAATGAAGCCCACAAGAATAATTTAAAAGAAGACATACTACAATACTCAATGAGAATTTTTAAGAGATGATACTGGATAGGGTCAACCAAAATGTACAGGAGACACTCAAGAAATTCCAAGACAATAAAAATAGAGAATTTGAAAAAGCAAAAGAAGAAATAAAGGAAACCATAGAAGCACTGTATAAACACCAAAGTGAAAGAGAGAACACAATGAATAAACGGATAAATGAACTCAGGACAAAATAGACAACATAAAGAAGAAAACTGCCAGGATATGGAAAACCTCAGAAAAAAGAACGAAACAGAACTGCAAAACAAAACGGAAGGCCAATCCAGCAGAATAGACAACAAACAAAGACAGAATCTCAGAACTTGAAGATGAAATGGTAATTAAAAAAAACGAAGAACTATTAATTAAACAACTCAAGACCTGTGAAAAGAAAATTCAAGAACTCACTGACTCCATCAAAAGACCAAACTTGAGAATCATGGGCATCGAAGAAGGAGAAGAGGTGCAAGCGAAGGGAATGCGTAACATATTCAACAAAATAATAACGGAAAATTTCCCAAATCTAGAGAAAGATATTCCCATACAAATGCAAGAGGCCTCCAGGACACCAAACAGACCAGATCAAAATAGAATACTCCACGACATATCATCATTAAAACAACAAGTTCAGAAACTAAGGAAAGAATATTGAAGGCTGTAAGAGAGAAAAAACAAGTAACATACAAAGGTAAACCCATCAAAATCACAGCAGACTTCTCAACAGAAAACATTAAAAGCAAGAAGAGCGTGGGGTGAGATCTTCGGCACTGAATGAGAAAACCTTAACCCAGGATACTCTAAGCAAAGCTATCATTCAAAATAGATGGAGCAATAAAAGTCTTCCATGATAAGCAGAAACTAAACAATATGTGACACAAAGCACCATTACAAAAGATTGCAAGGGATCCTGCACACAGAAAGTGACACCCACACTAACCATGAAAAGGCAGGCAGCACCAAACCACAGGATAAGAAAAAGCAAGCAGTAAGAGATAACATCAAGTTAGGTACACACAATCAAACCTTCAAACAAGAAACTAAACATTAAATGGCAGGAATCACCACATACCTATCAGTACTAACACTTAATGTTAATGGACTTAATTCACCCATCAAAAGACACCGTTTGACAAAATGGATTAAAAAAGAAGATCCAACAATTTGTTGCTTACAGGAGACTCATCTCACCGACAGAAATAAGCATATGCTTAGGATGAAAGGCTGGAAGAAGATTTACCAAGCAATGGCCCCCGAAAACAGCAGAGTAGCAATACTTATCTCTGACAAAGTAGACTTCAAACCAACATTGATCAAACGAGATAAAGAAGGACATTCCATACTAATAAAAGGGGAAATAGACCAAAAGGAAATAATAATCATCAATCTGTATGCACCCAATGTCAACGCACCCAATTTCATCAAACATACTGAAAGACCTAAAAGCATATATAAACGCCAACACAGTGGTTTGGGAGACTTTAA